GGTGACCCCGGATATTTTTCCAGACCGTTATCCGCTCCCCAACATCGCCGATTTCACCTCACGAGTCAGTGGTTCATCTGTTTTTTCTAAACTGGATCTTCAGAAGGGATATTACCAGGTGCCAGTCGAGCCGGAGGACATCCAGAAGACCGCCATCATCACCCCCTTCGGGATGTTCGAGTTCTTGGTAATGCCGTTCGGCTTACGGAACGCTGGGAACACATTTCAGCGTTTAATGGATCAGATCTTAGGAGACCTTCCTTACTGTTTTGCGTATGTGGATGATATCCATGTTTTCAGCAAGGATCTAACCTCTCACGTCCAGCATCTCCGGGACGTGTTCCTCCTTTGTCGTGAGTATGGTCTCACTATTGGCCTGCCTAAGTGCCAGTTTGCTGTGGAGGAGATTGAGTTCCTGGGTCATTGCCTCACCGCCTCTGGTTGTTCTCCCCTGGTGAAGCACTCCACCGCTATCTCCGCCTTCCCACAGCCAACAGACAAACCCAGTCTCCAGAGATTTCTCGGAATGGTTAATTTTTACAGGAAGTTTCTCCGTTCCGCAGCTCAAGTCCTTGCTCCTCTCACAGACGCTCTTAAAGGTCCTGGAAAAAACCATTCCCTGGACTCCACTCATGAACTCCGCCTTCTCCAGAGCAAAGAAACTCCTCTCATCTGTTCCGGAGTTGGTACATCCTCAGTGCAACGCGCCAATCTCTCTTGCTGTGGATGCCTCAGACTCACACATAGGAGCTGTCCTTCAACAACAACTCCCTGATATGTCTTGGTCTCCGTTGGCTTTCTTCTCCAAGAAACTCTCCGACGCTGAGAAGAAATACTCCGCATTCGACAGAGAACTCCTGGCTGCTCACTCTTCTCTTCGTCACTTCCGCTTCATGCTCGAAGGTAGAGAGTTTACAATATTTACTGACCACAAACCATTAACCCATGCTTTGTTCAGGTCAAGTCCTCCATGGTCAGCTCGTCAGCAGAGACAACTTTCATACCTGGCAGAATTTACTAGCTCCATTGTTCATATTCCTGGCAAGGAGAATGTTGTAGCTGACGCTCTGTCCTGGCCAGTTTCGCCCAACTCCGCTCCAAACCCTGAGTCAAATCCGTCCTTAGTTTCTCCGAGTCCAACTAAACCTTGCTCCAACTCAAACCCTGGTCCAAGCTCTTTCCAATCTCCGTCTAAGCCTGTTAATCCTCACGCCTTTCCAATCCCTGGTGCCCTGCCTCCTGTGGTGTCGGAGGTGTCGGAGGTGTACACCGACAAGTTGAAACTTTTTAATCAACATTTATTCAAGAATTTAGTTTCAATTCCCCACTACCCTGAATTCTACCATTTATATACAAATCAATACACATCTTAATTTTTAAAATTTAAATTATTACTACTTTAACTACCTTCTATTTACCTCACATAAAGCTAATGTGAAAAATAAGGCATTTTATACATACAGGGGGGGCAATGATCCTCGATTTTTTTCTTCAAATTTTCAAACTTTGTAAATATGAATTTAATTAGAATAAGAAATAATTCTTTAAGTTCCCGTTTATGGAATGGAAATTTTCAGGTTTACGTTACGTAAACCGTAAAAATTTAAGTTCCGGTTTAGCGAATGGAAATTTTCCAGTTTACGTTACGTAAACCGTAAAAATTTCCGGTTTACGGAATAGACCGGAATATTTCTTCCGGTTTACCAAATGGAAACTGGAAATTTTACGGTTTACATTCCGTAAAACGGAAATTTTTCCGGTTTACGTGACGTAAACCGGAAAAATTCCGGTTTCTATTTATACTGGAATTATCCCGGAATTCCAGTTTACACAACGAATTTCCGGATCATTCCATTTCCAAAATGGAAATTCTTTTCCGGAAAAATGGAAACCCTAGTTGCTAGGCTCTTGGGAATGAGTCATGTTTAACCATTTTCTCCAAATAGATGCAACAGATGGTAGTAAGATTATTAAAGATGACCATCAAATTCAATCTTTCATTATCCTATACCCCCTTTAACTTTTAACAAACACTCTCTTTAACTTTATTTATGTATGGTAAAGAACAATCCACTCTGTTCAGATCACTAAAAATGAAAAAGCTGAACCCATGCTGTGTGTCTTTATAAAACATTATTATATTAGTTTCAAATATTTTTTTAAATTAGAGAAATTACTCTTTTAAGAGTTTATATGAACTCTAAAATACTTCTTTTAATTCGTAAAGACATGCATTCCTAAATAATTTAACTATGTTTCAGAGGAGTTTGTAACTTCAAATAAAAATATAATACTTGGAACCAATATTTGTCCACATGGAGGAATTCATATTTCAGGTAATTAAAATAATAAAATTTTAGAGATGTGTTTGATGTTAAACATTTGTTATATTTAATTCAGGCAATAAAATAGAAAGGAAATTTTATGTCAGATCAATGTCTTATTTCTATCAAATATTTCTTGACATCACACTCCGCTTTAGTTATTGAAATTTTGTGTAACAGTCCAAAGTAGGACTGCAAAGGTTTGCCCAGCTCAGATATTTAAATGTAGACCAGTGGGACATGACATAAAATGAGTTATCATATTAGTTTTTTTTGGTGACATTTAATTGTTTAATAAGTAACTTTCATGATTTAATTCAAGTAAAATTGATAAATATTTTATAATTAGGAAAACTGAAAGCACCACCAAATGCAGAAAAAGAAGGTATTCTAATATTTTTCAAACATATAATCAAAAAATGTTTATGACAGAAAAAAAAACTTCAACTTTGGAAGAAGTATATATATATAAAATTGGAACAAAATTGTCATTATCATGATTTAGGTTTATCAATGAAAGTTCAAGCAGCAGACAAATCAGACTTGACTAATATTGTTCTCATATTTTCAATGGCTGATGTAAAGATTAAAATTGGCTCAACAAGTGTTGTTGTATCACCTGCTGTCCAATATGGAGAAATTATTGATGTTTATGTTACATGTAATGAAACCAACTTCAAGGTACCAACTTTTGACAAGAACTCGTACCTTAAGGTTCACAATATTACTTTTCTAACAAACTGTTCTGAACTTCAAACAAACTGTTTGTGATAATAAAAACTTTTGATTGGTTTTATTTTACCAACAAACTGCTATGGTTTCTTCTTACAGTGTAAATATTTAATATTCAATTATAAGAATGTATATTTATGAACTAATCTTTATATTTTAGGTTTTCATTAACAACTATTTACAAGGAACATCTTTTGTACATGATACCAGTGAAATCCCATCTCCGACCTTCATAGACATAGCATTTGATGAAACCATTATTGAGAATCTTTTATTTGAGAAACTTGGTTCGGATAACAGCATACTCAAACCTCCTGATCTGACAAATAGGCTGGGGTGCAATGGTAAATATATTTTTTGATCTCATTTTATTATTGAAGATTTTTTAATGTTTTCTTGTGACTTTTTTGCTGGAAAGATTATATCCCAATAAAGATTCAACCATAGAGATTAGAACTTTTTTTGGTTTTTCAATCAGTGTCTACATTGAATTGGCGGCAACAGGTTAATCTTATATCCAAAAGAGCAATGTAATGTAATTTTTAACTTTAATAATTTATTTTAATTAAATTTTACAATATTTTAAATTTCAATATGATATCAGATGGAAACATTTTGAGACTACTATATTTCTTGTTTTTCATTCTTTCTTCTTGATCGTTCATTCCTCATCCATCCTTTTGGATGTTACTGCAGCTAGCCAAATTTCAGAGAAAAAACTATTTTTTTTGAGCCTTTTATATAGGATCTAATCTGGGAGTGGCAAGGGTACTCTCTTCCCTTGTTTTGTTTTTAAATTTTACTGGTGTTGCAACTGTTGCTTTCCTACATACTTTCAATGAAATTTTCGTGGTGGCAGGGAGGGGGGAGGGGCGTTCTACACATTTTCCAGGGTTTTTTTCTGAGTAGGACATAGAGGGGGAGGGATGGGATGTCTGCCATCCTGTGTATTTGTCTTCATTTGCTATCAGTGAAAAGAATTAGATTGTGAAAAGCTCAAATCCCCTTCTAATTTTCCTCTTCAAAGCCCGAGTGGACCATCCGGGACTAAAAAGGAGACTAGGACAGTCCTTGTGACTAACATAGGCACTCTTTTGTTTAATGTAGCAAATTTCAGAGAGCGGATATGATCCCCAGCGGGGGTCATTCAGAAAACAAGCTAGAATGAGACTAAAAATATGCCTATTTGAGATATTTTTTTTTCCCACAGTTTTAAGTTTGGGTTTATGGGGGGAGTGTCCTAAGAAAGAGAGGTAAAGAATGTGTTACTATCTTCCTGTCTATTTTCTTATCTTTCTATCTATGTCGTGAATCTATAATCTTAACCAGATGTTAAAATTATCAGAGACCTTCCCTTTCTGTCTTCTCCCCCACTCCTCCCTCCATGTCATATAAGCTGTTAGAGGCGGATCTTGTTTAGGCAGGTTTTTAGTAAAAATTAGCCTGATGTAGTTTAAGCTGTTTTGATTGCGACTTATTTTGACTAAATGCAGCTTAAAATTATTTTTTGTTGTTAAACAAAATTTTATAAAAATTCATCAAAAATTTTAGTGTAACAAAAATACTTTTTAATTTTTTAAAATCACATTTTATTTTTTTGAGTCTTATAAAATATGAAAAAATAAAAAGTTTAAAATTTTTGTCAAAAACATTGTATAATCCCGTTTTTTTTGGTTGGGGAGGGGGGGGGTGGTAGAAGTTTAAGTATATGGCGGGATATCACATAATAGTTAGAACTGGTTTTGGAATACATGGGTTGACCCAGCACCAAGAGGCGGAGTGGGGGGGGGCGTACCTGTATTGTTAATATTGGATTCTTACTTGCTGCTGAGAACCCTTATTATCTAATTAAAATTTATACAAGTCGAAGACGACCAAATCTAATAATTATAAAATATACGGGGCATGTCGAGACCGCGTTAATTTGAATATCCCGGTCCGGTTTCCAAGATGCCATATACCGGTTTTCTAGTATTCTACCTTCCACAGCCAGGCTGCCAGCAGTAAGCAGTCTAGTTCCATCCACAGAGATATACAGACTTTAAAGAAATTAATCGGAGAAAGGTATAAAAAAATTTACTTGTACAGTCCCTTTAAAAGCCTTTTTGATGAATATATCAGTTATAGATAGAGATGGGGGCGTTCAACTTTTAATTTTGTTCGTTCATCATTCGTTAGTCTTTTCAAAAATTGAATTAGTTTGTTTTCAAATTTATGATTTATTACATTAGTTTTTAAACTGAACGTCGTGCATTTAATAAAATCTTTCACGTAAAATACTTTGTTCAATAAAATGTTTCGTTATTTAATAAAACTGTTTTTTCAAAATTTTTTCGAAAAAGTTGTTGTTCAGTTCTTCTTTCCTCTTCTAAATACTTTTCTTTCTTTTCTTTCATCCATTCAGGCTTTCCTTATCTTTTCTTTTCTATTTTTTCATCGATTTTTTATTTCAGAAATCTGGACTCATGAATGCATAATAAAGTTCAGATAATATGGCCCGTCTGAAATACTGCTGGAAGATGAGCGAAAAATGTCAAGGAATCATCAACAAC